GGATAGGATAGGATAGGATAGGATAGGATAGGATAGGATAGGATAGGATAGGATAGGATAAGGTAAGGCAGGGTAGGAGAGGTAAATGCTTCATTTACTACCTTTTGTGATGTTGTACATTGGCATAACTGTGCCTGTTTATGTCTGCTCTAGAGACAAAGGACCAATAAATATTTATTTCATTACTGATGTCATCTAAGATGAAAAACCTTGAGGGAAGTATTTGCACCACATGTTTGCCCTATATCTGTCTTAGACTGTTAGTTTCTTTCTTACCTCTTATTTATTGTCCTCCCCCATTAGTGTCATCAGAAAAGAAACTCTCCTCTTGTGCCATTAATAAAAAGGACCTAATAAACATAACAGTAATTTGTACTCTAAACGAAAACCGTCCGTTATGATCTATGTACATGCATACAAGAAATGCACACAAACAAACATGCTGGTGATTCATGTTAGTGTCTCACTGCTATGTTTCAATTTGCAGACACAAAAGCTTAATTAGTGTGTGCACTTTGTGTCTAACAAAGTGCTGTGTAACTCACTGCTTAGGTCCCCGGAGGCTTTCCTTTTGTTTGATGAGCTGCACATCGGTAACATTGCCACTTCCTGTTGAATGACTCTAAATCACATTTGGCATTTTGTGGCAGTTTGCCACAGACAACAGAATAGATGCTTACCCATGTGTGAGTGCATGAGTCCACGTAGGTTTTATTTTTTTTTCTTTGCATCCTGATCTCTGAATTCAGCTATTGCGCACACGACACAGTACACTCGACGATTGATTGGACTCTGCAAACAGCCAATAGGGCACAAGCCATTCTCCGATAAATGGCCAGAGAGATGGTGAGGAAGAACAGGAGAGCAGGAGGAGGTAGTGGTGGTGGGGTGGTGGGGTGGAAGAGGCAGGGAGAGCGGGGTGAGAAGGTGGCAGACAGATTGAGATTTAATTTTCAGGTCACGGCATCTTGTGTCACTTGAGAATCCAGACACATAGAGAGGAAATGATGCACATATAGGCCCTCACACACACCCTGCACACAAACACACAATTGTTGTATGCCCAAAGCATCCAAATATTTTCATGTGTGTGTGTGTTTTGCATAAATGTCTGTGTCCTGCTGGCATAAGCAGAGATTTAGACGTATACCAGCCCTGACATTTAGCGTTTAGCTCTACCACTAAGCTTATTAGCAGAAGACCAAATATCAGCACGATCTCCTCCTCTCTCGTCTGATTTACCCACTTCTCACCCTCAACATGCCTCACCGATTCTTCTGTTGTCACAGCTTTGGATTACCAGCTATTTCTCTTCATTTCCTCAATCCCTTCATCTTCACAGCAATTCTCAACCTCTGCATGTTGACTTTGCTCACACACGTGAATCTTTCCACACCTCTTTTTGTCTCATTTCCACTCCTTCTCTCCCAATCTCTGGAGTCCTGCTGATTGCAACCCAAGGCTTTGGCAGCTCATCAACACATACAAGCTCTCTCAAAAACACACACAATAAACTAGAATTCAACCTGGGAAGATATTGCAAAGTGAAAGTAAAGCAATGAAATATGGCGGAATGGAAAGGACCAGTTGTTGCTGACGGCAAAAGACCGAACAGATTTAATTGAAATATTTTGCTGTGCTTACACCTGGCTTTCAATTATCCACTGATGAGACAAGAGACAATGAGATGAACTCTGAAAAGCAAATAGAGGAAGGCACTGCAGTTGTAAAAAAGGAGAAAAAGAAAAAGTTAAAGCAATGACAGAAAAGGAGACACGATGTGGGTGAGGAGGGTAGTAATAGTCTTTTTAGTAGCAATAACAATTCAATCAAGGAGAAATGTATGCGGAACTAAGTGGTCTGTAATGGGGAACAGGCTTCTGCTGCTGAAAAGAACACAGAGTGAGGGCTTCAGACAAGAGCCAATAGGACACACAAGGGTGCAAACGTCCCTGAGCATGACAGCATGAAGAACAGTTGTGAGGAAGAAACAGTTGGGCAGTATCAATGCTGGGAACGRACAGATTCCAGAAGGGACTGAAATCTGGTATAATCGACCAAAAGACAGAGGGAAAGTCTTTTTCAGATCAAACACTTTAGCAGACTCTTCCTATTCAGACCTGACCCTAACATCTATCCTGAGTGATCTAGTTGTATTTGAGTGTTGTTAGCTGTAAACACTCAGGAAAAAATACCTACGTACACTTTTATCCATTTGGGAGTCTGGATCAGTGTTGCCAACTTAGTGACTTTTTAACTAAGTTTTCAGACCCTTTTAATGACTTTTTTTTTTTTTCAAAAAACTGACTAGCGACAAATCTTCCAACTTTCTCCTGTGTTTTTGTAGACTTTGGTGACAGTAGCTGCGTTTCCATTGACCATGAAA